GCCCCCGCTCCTGCTCGCCCGCCGGCACCGCGCCGCTCTCCGGCTCCGCGCCCTTCTCCTGGCCCACGGCCACCGTCTGCGGGCACAGCGCAGCCCGTCAGCCCCCAGCACACGCGCACCCACCTCCTCTGGGATCCTCACGGAGTTTGGGGTAACGCTGCCATCCAGGCAGGCGGGCACAGCAGATTTCAGTCTAGCACTCCACCCAAGAAGGAATTGGGTCTGTACGAACTGGACACTTCTGCACACAACAACTGACAACTGTCCACTCCGCATTAGGAGCGTAAAGAAAGGCACAGAGTGCAGAGGAAGCCCCAAGTCCCTCTGCCTTGGGGAGGAGATGGATGGCAGCACCACGGGTTATCGTGCCCAACACCTTTTTGCCAGGCTTTGCTCTGAAAAGCTCTCAAACCGTGTTGCCTCTCTGCAGAGCCCACAGCTGACACCCATTTTTATTAATGGATATTAACAGTGGGGATGTTTGAACGTAAGCTGAGACTGATTCTAAATTCCTGACAGGAAGCTGGAGAGTCTCTCAAAAGCATCGATTTATAAAATTCACCGTGAGGCATCTCATGCTAGAGAAGTCTCAACCACGAGTTCATAAATGAAATGTTTCTCTAATATCTTATTGTAAACAGCTGCTGTAACTGAGAGGAAAACAGAGCAGCCTTTGACATCGCTGGGAAATGGAACCACCGAGTATGACAGTTCACAGAGTAAATTCCACAAGCCTAAATAAAATACTGCTGAGCTGGCAATGCAACAAGTTAGGAGGGGGGAAAAAAACCCTTCTAGTGAATTACTGAAGGGTTTTGCTCAGAAACTCCCTCCTCCATGGAAGAAAATCGGCCAACCAGCCACATCATTCATCCACTTCTGGGAGCATTTCTTTGTGCTTCAGCTGCCGGCGCCGCGCCGTCACCCACCGGGCCAGCACGCAGGCAAGGAGAGAGGGAAACTTTGAAGCCCACCTGAATAATTTTAGGGAGCATTTCTCCTCCATTTTTTGTGCTCTGAGCAGCAGTTAAATACTTCTTTTCCAGGAAGAAGGTAACGAGCCACTTGATGAACACCACGCGGGCTGCCATGTAGGGGATTTTAGTGCAGTAGACGCTCTCGTTGTTGCGCGTGGCAGCGACGTACACCGGCCTTGGCCTGACATCAGGAATGTCTGCAGGGACAGGGGGGAACAGAGACACAGAGTGGGACCTTCCTAACTGCCCCCCAATGCTGGCTAAACACCCTGAGCACCTCACCCAGGAAATAACAGGCGCGATGACTGCTTTCATCTCACTAAGGCTTGAATTCTCCTCAGGAGAACGCCACAGCTCTTTCCTGAGGTTAGCCCCTGCACCCCTCAAAGCAAAGGAAAGCAGAAGAGAAGGGCTGCAAGAAGGAAGGGCCAAAGCTGGAAGAGCCAGCCCTGCTACAGTGCAAGTGAATTTTACAGGAAATGCAGTGAGACACCAGCAGGTCACAGAGATGCTGCTGAGAGCCAGCTCTGGCTTTTTCTGCTTCAAAGGCAAAACCCACTACTCACCAAGCACAGGCTTGTAGAGGTTGGTCAGCTTTGTGAAAGATGGGAACAAGTGGGGAAGGTAGTATTTTCTGAACAATGCAAAGAGAAACTTAAATCCAGTGTCTTGGTTCTCCTTGTTCTTCCACTCCAAGCTGGCAGCCTTCGTCACGGAGTTAGAGAGGGACACACAAAAAGCTCTAAGTTAACGTGGTATACTGACAATTCTAACTCAAAAAGCAGGCAAACACACTTGAGCAAGAGAAGAAGAAGTAGCACAGCCCCAAAACCAGCTTTACAAAGTGCAGTAAGAAGGGGAAGCAAGGCCAGAGCAGCCCAACAAAGCCAGTGTATTTGTGCTGCTCTCCGTGAATCTGCTTCTCACTTTTACCAGAAATACTTTCTTCAGCACAATGAACAAACAGCAGAACCGCTGTGCAGTGGGATCTGCAGCCTAGGCAGGTTTGTTTGGATCCCACACAGGTAACGAGAGCACAAAGAGAAGAGGGACATTTTTGGTTTTGACTGGAGCGGTGTGAGACTCTGACATGCAAAACGAAGGCTGCTGTGGAGGAAGCTGATAATTCCATACAGCCACTTTATTTTAAAATAAAGCATCTGTTCAAGATGACAAAACCCTTTCCAAATATTATTTTGGTCTTGCCTTTTCATACTGGAAAGTGTATCTCAAAGTATTTAATTATAATTTATCTTTTTTTAATAACAAGGCTCTTTAATGTTCATTGTCTGCACAGCTTCCACTTTATTTCAAATGTTGCCTAATTTGTACTTTTTAAAAATATACATTATCTTAATTTATTTCCTGCACAGATTCATCTGATCTACTTCTAATTAAATTTTATGTGCTTGTTACTTGCATCCTTTCAAAAACATCACAGAAGCCATCTCTCTTTATCTCTTCCTCCAGTGATCCTTCACATCCCTTTTCATCTAGCTGTGTGTCCAAAGAGAACAAACTCAATCTTCGCCCCACACCGATTCTCTAAACGCAGCCACGAGCACGTAAAACAGTCTGTCACTCCCCAAGCCTGGATAACATCCATTAATTCTTATCACAACAGTGCGACAAACTTCTTATTTTCACCAAAACTGGCACGAGGGAACACCTTTGGGGTGATTTTCCATTTAAAAACGAGTAATAAAGAAAAAGGGCCGGGGCAGGGTAAAAAAGCCCAGCTGTGCACAGATGTGGCGCAGGATTAACTTTCAGCTCCCACAAACGCCCCCTGCAAAGAGGAGCAGTCTGAAGCACGCAGCCTCCTCACCTGAGTGACCATGTATTTCAGCAGCAGCTGCAGGAAGTAGCAGGTCTGGTCCTCGGCAGGTTTCTCCCCGGAGACAGCCGGCAGCAGCGGCGCGATCTCCTCCGGGAAAACCCTGGCTGCAACCGAAGGCGCGCGGCACAGGAGAAAAGGGAGAAGTAAAGGAGGGAACATCGGGGAAAGGCTGCTGGGCAAGGAGCCATCAGGGAGACACCGAACTGCCACGGCCCAGAGGCTGCTCGGCCGTCACAGGCCCTGCAACACAGCGGGGAGGAGGAGGAGGAAGGCTCACCCAGGAGGAGGAGGAAGGCTCAGGAGGAGGAGGAGGAGGATGGCTCACCCAGGAGGAGGAGGAGGATGAAGGCTCATGGAGGAGGAGGATGAGGAGGATGAGGAGGGCTCACAGAGGGGAAGAAGGCTCACACAGGAGGAGGATGAGGAGGATGAAGGCTCCCACAGGAGGAGGAGGAGGATGATGAGGAAGGCTCACACAGGGGATGAAGGCTCACCGTCGGGCGGGGCCGGGGGGCTGAGCAGGCTGTCCAGCGTGCAGGGCCCGCGGGGGGACGGCAGCGGGGGGAAGCCGGGCACCAGGCAGGCGAACAGCAGCACCTGCTCCTCGCCACAGTTGGTCTGCAGGGCCTGCAGCCACAGCAGGAACAGCCGCATCCCCTCGCAGCGCAGCTGCAGGGCAAGGCACAGACACAGCTCTGCCAGGCTGCACCCCCAAAACCCTGCCTGGGGGTGCCCAGGGCTTGGATAATCCCAGTGCACCCCCAGAGCCCTGCCTGGGACACAGGGGGTGCCCAGGGCTTGGATAATCCCAGCCCTGCCTCCCTACCCAGGAGATTCCCAGGGCTTGGATAATCCCAGGGGGTGCCCAGGGCTTGGATAATCCCAGCCCTGCCTCCCTACCCAGGAGATTCCCAGGGTTTGGATAATCCCAGTGCCAGAGAAAGCTCAGAGAAATCAGGGATCTGGCAATTCTCCAGGAGGCTGCACAAAGGTCACTAGAGCAGCAGGAAAATGACTGAGGAGACGTATGAAAGTAACCAAGGGTCACAATAATAAAGCTCACTATTAAAAGGGGAATAAGGAAAAATTCCAAAGCAATCTGGGGAACACTGCTATTGGAAAGCTGAGGAGTAGCATACTCCACAGGAACTCAAGTGAAAAGGAATACAAAAACAAGGTTGGTGCAATACCTTGAGAGAGTTTCCAGTGTGCAAAAGCTTCTTCAGAATCGACCCTGGATGAGGAAAGTTAAGCAGACACTCTCAGACACTTCCCAGCACGCTGTTCTCAGAGATGTCCCAGGGAAGCCTGCCTTCCTCTATCTGGGGCCACTGTGCTGGGCTCTGAGACAAGCGTGGGGGGAACCCCCATCTGAGGCCAGCCACGGCCACCAGCTCCTTCCCTCGAGATCTCGCCATTTCACAAGATGAAACAGAAATTAGATGAATAATAAAATTATTAGGAAACGCGTATTAACGCACAGGAACGTTAAGCAGAAGGAAATCACAGGGCAGAGGTGAAAATAAATGCTCTGCCAAATTTTCTACATCATTTTTTGGACACAGATGAGACATTACACCACTGTGACCACGCACTAGAAGCGTGAATAATAATAATAATAATAATAATAATAATAATAATAATAATAGCTATGGAGCAACCGACTGGAACCAATGTGGTCTGGACTAGCTCAGCTGAACCCTTGTGGAGTGGCCAGGCAGATGTCTCCTCTTGTTTTTGTCAGTGCTGAGTGGAAATGTGACAACAGCCCTTCCCTTGACCTTTAACTTCCGCCCATTGTTCCTCTGCAGCAGCAACTCCTCGCTCTGATGACAAGGATGGCAGCTGGTGTCACACTGCTGCAGAACAGCCCCAGCAAACAACTCCACCTTGGGAGGAATGGAGTCCCCCATAAAACTTCAACAAGCAGCATAAAAACCCTCGGGTGCCACCCTGGTGGGATCTGGAAGCGGAATTTGAGCAGCAGTGACGGATCCAAGGGATTTGATTCGGAGGAAATGGTGGGGTTAAATCACTTCACCATCCCAAGGGCAGCCAAGGCTGCTCCCTGCCAGGCTCCTGCTATTCCCTCCCTTCTTCCAGAAGCTGCAGTGCCACCAGTGTGGGGGAAGAACAGTCTTGGTCTGAGGCAGCCACCCATGGGCACCTTGTGTGTGCCACGGCCACGTTCTAGCATGGGAAAATCCTCCTTTTCCTGAGAATCTGGGAAAGAGCTGGGGCCAAACTTGCACAAATACCATGTATCCATCACTCTACTCACATATCACTCATTAAACGAAAAACTGATCTTAAAAGAGCTACTGAAAAGTTCTTTTTTTTGTTTTAAACCATTTGTTCTTACCTATACTGCGAAAATGCCATCGATAAAAAATCCTCTCGGGCAGCAGCTGCAGTATTTTCTGCAGGAAACAAAACTAGTCAGGTTTTCTGCAATGAAAGTGGCTCACCAGGGGATCCAGAGGAACAGACACACAACACACAGGTGAGATGGGAAGGAACGTCCAGGGTTTCTTTTTGAAGGACTGGCTGCAGGTGTGGCACAGCAGGGCTCCACACAGAAACACCCCCAGCTCACAACACCCCAGCCACTGAAACAAGGAATTAGGAGGAGACATTGAACTGGGAAACCAGTTTAGAACAGCTCAGTTTGGAAAGCAAATGGAACTGAAGGATGCTGTGGGTGACGGGCACTCAGAGCCCCGTGTGGTTACGGGAGGAAGGGAGCGGCAGGGATCCCAGCACAACAAACGCCTCCAGGCTCTCAGCAATGCCACATGCGGGCTGCAAAGGGATGGCAGCTCACTCCTGCAACGCTGGTTTCAGGGTGCTCTGCACACAAAAGCTCACGAGAAAACCCGAAGCATCTCAGCCCAGAGAGCAGCTGGCACTGGGGGCCAGAGCCAGCCCCGCTGCCAGAGCGTGTGCTCCAGACCTGGGGCAGGACAGGCCTCTGGCTTGGGACAGTAAAGGGCTTCAGAAATTCAGCACTCAGAACAGTCCTTCTGCACATGGAACATCCCCTTCTCCAGGGCAGGGGATGGAAGTGACGGCAGCTGGTGGGCACAGGGAGCCAGACCTCGGGTCACAGACAGGCTGGGCCTCCTCCTCCTCAGCTTCACCACAGCACGTGCTCCCCACACTGCTTTTAGCATTTCTGCAGGGTTAGCCAGAATGAAAGGGCAAACCAGGCACGTCCTTTCCGTGCTCCTTGTGTTTTGTCCCAGTGTCACTCCCCCAGCTCCCTCCCCAGCGCGTGGTGGCAGCAGGACCCCAGGAGCAGGGGGTCCAGAGGTCGAGCTCCCTGTCCGTGGGCAGCAGGAATGCTTGGATGAGGGATCTGACTGGCTAAAAACGAGCCCATGGCTCACACAGGGGCTTTGCCTGTTGGTCAAGCACCAGCCTTCTGCCAAGCAGACTGCAGGACCCGTGGACAAAGAGTTACTGTTATCCATCTAAACATTCAGACACTGGCAGCCCACCACTCCTCCAGACTACTGCTGCCATTAATCATTACTTAACTTGGCACGGGGCAGAAAGGAGTCCTAAACTGAGCCAGGAGCACCTTTAACCTCACCTAAGGTAACCCAGGAGCACCTTTAACCTCACCTAAGGTAACCCAGGAGCACCTTTAACCTCACCTAAGGTAATCCAGGAGCACTTTTAACCTCACCTAAGCCAGGAGCACCTTTAACATCACCTAAGCCAACCCAGGAGCACCTCCAGCCTCCCCCAAGGCAGGAGCCCTGCGTGGGAGCTGGGTCTGTGCCCAGGCTCACCACAAGCTGTGTGCCTGAGGAGTGTGAGGAGCAGCTCCAGGAAACAAAACCCTACAGCAAAGCAGCAGGAACTGGGAACTGGGCTGGACTCGGGTGTCACTGCAGGGAGGGAGCCTCACACACTGGCACATTTATCATGGAAAACCAGACAGAACCACAGGTGATCTGTTAGCTCTGTTCCAGTCTGTTACACAGCTTCACCTAAATTTAAAATTCCCTTCTGCAAAGTGAGGAGGTGTGAGCTGGGAAGGTGCAAAGCTCCATGGCAAGGACCCATCTGAAAAAGAATTTGGTAACAATTTTCACATCCAAGTCTCAGCAAACTGCAGGCTGCATCCAGGAAAACAAATGCTCAGCTGAAGGAGAGGGGAAACCAAGCCCAGATTCTGAACTGCACAAAACACCACCCTCACTGCTCTCTTCACAAAACACAGACTCCAGCACGCTTGTCAGGTGAGGGAATCAAAACAACCCCAGGGTTTAAGCCATCAGTAAGAGGACAGAAGTTCCTATCTGAGAAAAGCTCCCACATCCCAAAAATCTCTTCACACAGCAAAACCAGAGACACTTCAGTCCCTTCCCCTTTCAGCATGTCCAATCCAGGTTAAACACCAAGCAGATGCACTTTGAGAAGAGGCAGGGGTGTGCCAGCCCAGGGGCTCTGCTGTCCCACAGCCAGTCCCCAGCCAGCTCCACCTGCTCCCTTCTCAGCTCCACATCCCCAGCAACACTCTCTACACCCTCCCCACCCCGGGTGCCCTGGAGAACGTGCACTGCTGCTGCCACACAAGAAATGAGAGCCTCTCCCCCCCAGCCCAGCCCCACCGCTGTGAATCCCAGCTGGCCATTGACATCCTGGTCCTAGTTTCACACTACACTAATAAGAAATATTTTAAGAAACCCCACAGTGCGAAATCATATTGCTTTTTCAGAAAACACATAGATCTATTTAATGCTTAGTGCTTTGCTGCATCTATATGGTAATCCATTACAGCACACTTGAAATAGAAATTAGGTATTACTACTGATCAACACATCAGGGTATCTGTCAGTTCTTTTAACTGATTATCCATAGTTCTTTTTCCTTTGGACTTCCTGCATGACTAGGAATAATGTTAAGTTTAAATCTTGGTTTACACAGGATGCTGCGCCCCTCTCTCTCGCCGAAGCAAAACAAAAACCACCGAGGTTTGGATTCCGACAGACTGACTCAACCAAAACTGCCATTTCTTCTGAAAAGCCCTCTGCTTTCCCCCCCAGGCTGCACCCTGCCGTGCCTGGCAGCTGTGTGCCAGCTGCAGGACACGTCCCAGGGGTGTTCCCCAGGGGGACAGCAGCGCCGGGATGTGCCAGGCTGCTTTTGCCAGGCAAACCCTGCATCCAGCATCCCCAGCAGGCAGGGGCAGGGGGACCCACGTCAAGCCAAGGAGGAAGAGCTCTCCCAGGCCTCGGGGCTCAGCTGGCTTCAGGCTGCTCCATCACCAGAACCTGCAGCAATCCAGACATTTTCCAGCTCCTGCTCACGGGGTCAGAGGAGCCAAGAGGCCAAAGGAGGCAGCGTGCCCACAGCAGCCCAGCCTCAACAGAGGGACGCTCCTCTCGCTGCATTGATCAATTATTTACAGTTGTGTGCCGAGGGAAAGCGCCTGCCCAAAGCACACAGGGCGCTCAGCACTGCCCCAGGCACGCCGAGGAACAGGCAGAGCTCTGAAGGAAAAGATGTGAAACAAATAGCTAGAATGTAGCCCAGAACGCTGCAAGAACAGCAGCATTGTTACTGGAACTATGGCAGAGCGACTGCGAAGGGTTCCAAAAGCCATTTTCTATGGGTAGAAAAGCAGAGCTGAAAGCACTTTTACTGCTACAAACAGAAAAGCCCCTTTGTTACTTTACTGAGCTGGAGCCCCAGCGTTCACATCTGCACCCGGCTCAAGGAAGCACAAACTCCACACAAAACACGGAATTGGGAAAGCTCTTCTACATCTGAGAAGTTCTGAGTGTAAAACATCTCATCCAGTGAACTTGTTAGATCAGTGGAATGAAATTTTTGACACCATCAGCAAGACAGATGTAGTTGCTCTTAAATAACGAAGGGAAATTATAGAGAATGGGAAGAAATTGATCTCAAAAGCATCAACCTGCTTTTACTTCACTAGAGATTAAAAGCCACAGCGTCAGAGGAATCGCTGCCTGGTGCTGCAAGAAAGAAAAAATGCTTTCTTATTAAAAAACCCCCCCCAGACTCTCCCACCCAGCTGATGGCACAGTGCTGTGAGTGGAGCAAATAAACAGCACAGTGCACCCCTGGGAGCTCTGTGACACACAGCACTCAGAGCTGAGCTTTTGGGATGCCCCTCAAAAGGGAGCAGGGACACAGGGAACAGCAGGCCCCTGCTCTGCAAATAGAGGAAAAAAAATAAATTAGAAGCTTGGCAGAAAAAGAATTGTGTGCCACACAATCTGGGGCTCTCAGCTGCACCGGGGAAACGTGACAGCACCAGTGCCATGTCACTTCACACACCTCTGTCTACCTGGGGAAAGCCAAAGCGCCTCACACAGCTAGAGCCAAGCATTCTGCAGTGTTAATTGCAACAGTTAACCCTTCACATTCCTCCCTGCCGGGTATCACTTCTTCTCTGAGCAACAGGCTGTCTGAAGCTGCTGCCCTGCGGCCCAGCCGTGCAGCTGATGTGCAAAATGAGATTTTTCCTCCATCAATTGCCACCAGGCCCAGGCAGTTTGCAGAGGATTTGTGGGAAAAGCCTCTGTTGCCCAGCACACACACTAGGTGTCACTCCACAACAGCAGCACAGCCCCACCAAAGCGCCAGCAAAGGCAATTCCCTCAGAAATGTTGGTGTTGATTTTCAGGCTGCTAACCCTCAGCACGGGGACTCGGGATTTGTTAATCCTGAGTAACCACCTAGTTAGCTAATTAGCAGAAAATGCAGCATCCCCCCGGCTCCTGCTGACATCACATTAAATATGGGAGGCTGAACAATCAATTAGTTGTGTTTCCCATGGAAAACAGCACGGATGTCTCATCCCCTGGCACTCCTGACTCCCTGGGCTGAGGCTCTGGGGCTGCTCCCAGCCAGGGTCAGCCACCCTCGGGCTGCACATCCCCAGCACCAAGGGAATCACCCCAAACCCCAAAGGGATCCCCAGCACCAAGGGCATCACCCCAAACCCCACACAAACCCCCAAGGGATCCCCAGCACCAAGGGAGTCACCCCAAACCCCACACAAACCCCCAAGGGATCTCCTGTCCCCCAGGGTGAGCAGCCTGGGGCACAGCTCTCTCTCCTCCACTGGGAGCCCGAGCAGCCCTTCAGACACACCAGGGACTTTTCCTCCCTCAGACACCACGTTCCCCCTCCAGTTTTAGGGAGCATTAGGGGTGGTGGTTGGGCACCCCTTTCCAAGCCCTGGAAATGCCCAGCTCTCTCCTCTGCCCAGGTGAGCAAGCCTTGGCTGTTCCCCATTCATGGCCCAGGCACAGAAATGTCACCGGTGACACCTTCTCTGCTGGGCACCCTGCAGCAGGAGGAGGAGGAGGAGGAGGAGGAAGAGGAGTTTCTCCTGCCCCAAACAGCCCTGGCAGATTTCTGAGCTGCTGCTCTTTGCCACTGCCTCGGGCACAGCCCCAGAGCAGAGCCCTGCTAATGTCACAAGGAGCAGGAATTCAACTCGGGTTTCAGAGGGAAAACCTCCTGGAGGGGGGAACCAGGGAGATCACAAAACCCCAGGGTCCCATGTCACCACTGTCACGGCCATTTTTCCCACTCCAGGCACATTGGGTATCATTCTTCTTGTCACCATAAATACCATTCCAACCAGCAGCTCCTCATTAATGCACAGCCACACACTTCTGAGGGACTGGGGGTCTCACAGGGGGAGCTGACAACAATTAATCTTTGTTCTAGCTTCAATTTCTAGAGTCCCACTGAAAGTTTAAGGGGTTTCTTCCTACCAAAAAAACCCCAAAATATAAACAAAAATGAGATTTCTATGATGCAATGCTCAGGTAAAAAGTTAGTAGTGGGAGTAGCAGAGAAAGAAATAAAGAGAAATAAATCAGCAGAAGATGATATGTGTGTTTAACCTTAAGAGAGAAATCTGGCCAATTATTTACCTAATCAAAATAATAATGTTTAAAGGTGCCAGTGCTTTCTGACTAGAGACAGGCAGGGCTTAAGCTAAGAATTTTGGTGTGCATTGTATGAACATTTTATGTGTCAAGGCTTTCATCTGTGAAATGAAATGATATTTTCTCACACCCAAGCACATTTAGGTAATAACTCCAGTCCAAGGGGTACCTTGGAAAACGACCTATCCCAGACCAGTCTGGTTTCAATTCAAGCAATCCTGATTTGGTTATGCAGAAGTTAAGGAGGGAACATTTCCTCCCCAGCGCTGGCAAGGAGGGAAGGATGCGCTTCTGGAAGTGAGAGATGTCCCACTGAACAAAAAAACCCCAAAGAAATCAGCATCTCACAGACTCAAACTGATGGGCAGCAGCTGGCAGCTCCTGTCCTTTTGGAGATGGGAAGGGGTGCTGGTGTGAGGGGAGCAGAGCCCAGCTCCTGCTGTGAAATGAACACTGGGGGGGCAGGGAACGGGCTGCTCTCCTCCACAAAACACAGGAAAAAACTCCTGTTCAACCAAAACACGGCAGAAACAACAGAAAGCAGACTTTGGGAAAGTCTGACAGACTCAAGGTTGCAGTAGAGCCCCCAGATCCCACGGAATCCCGGCTCCTTCTCGGAGCATCCCTCCCCAGCTCCCCAGGACAGAGGCGCTCCTGCTGCATTCCCAGGGCATTCTGGAAACATCTCTTGGCTCAGGGGGCTGACACCCAGGCTCAGCACAAAGCTCTGAGCAGGCACGGAGCCACAGTGAGATTCAAAACACAAATTAGTTCCCATGGGATGGAAAACTTACTTCAAGGAGAAAGAGGATGGAGTCCAGCTCCTCCCTTTGCGATTTATTCCCTGCAAGACACAAAACAACATTGCTTGCCAGAAACAGGGGGCAGGAGACGGCAGAGTGGGGCTGGTGCTGCTCAGCTGAAGCCAGGGGTGCTGCTCAGTTTATTTCTCAGCCCAGGTAAGGCTGCCAGGGGTGGGCTGTGCCCCGAGCCTGCCCTCGTGGAGCTGCAGGAGCCCTGCAGGGCGAGGGCACGGCTGGGTAAACGCTGAAACAAAGCCAGAAAAGTGCCAGCCGTGCCCTCAGCCCAGAGAGGGACGTGCCATGCCCGTCTCTCCTGCCAGCACCACATGAAAGTGATGGATGCCAACACTGTACTGCAGGAAAATGCAGATAACTGAGGACCAGACAACCTCTGGATGGGCTCTGATGGAATCCAAAACTCTGCACGGTTGTGGGACACTGGCCAACAGCTGCTGGAAAAACCCCAAAACTCACCTTTTTGCTTCAAGCTGTTTTCCAGTGTTATGAAGTTTTCATAGAATATAAAATAAATTTGAGAGTAATTGTTGTCAAAAAACTGCTTCAGGTCACTTCCATCCACGATATCTGAAAAAGAGGAACGAACAGAACAATTACACAAGAGCAGAAAGACAAGAATTTCAGGCATTCTGCAAGTTTAGCAGGAGAGAATGAAATAAATGCAACACAAAACTATTTCAACGAGTTCACTGAGTATTCTGTACTAAACTGTGGGTTCATCCTTGCAAGGAATTTCACAGAATTTATCAGAGTCTGCAGCAGGGCTTTGGTTTGCTTGCTTTCCACTCAAAAAAAAAATTTAAAAAATTAAAATAAATGTAAAAAAAAATAAAAAGAAATTAAAAAATATATAAAAAATGGGGAGAGCCTTGGCTGTGGAACCAAATGGCTTCTGCACCAATCAAAACAAACAGGTACTGCTGGAGAAAAACACCAGCAATGATTTTTGGATGCAAATTCGGTTCTTGTCTTCATCTGGCAAGCAGACCAAAAGCCAGCATATTCCCATTTCATTTCTTAGAACAAGGGCAACCCGAGCACGTAGCACTTCCCTAAGTGCTACCTTGGGTCTGAAATTTGAAATAAGTTTATTTTCTACAAAGGAAAATGTTTTCCCAGCCTGACGCTGGCCCAACACTAATAAAGGTTAATTCCCTCCCTTTGGTCCTCACTGACACCGACGTGGGGAAGGAAAGTTGGGTGATTTTGCTCAGAGGAGGGTGAAGGGCTGAAATTACCATCTCCCCACGGAAGCCTCACCTTGCAGGGCAGCCATTCATTACCCAAAACAAAGCTGATTCCAGCTAGGAGGCTCAATTCTATCCCACCACTGCTAGGGAAGAAAGGATAACTTCAGCCCTGGACAACTTGATTTTTATTTAAATTAACACCTTTCCAGCAGCAAGGCTCTGCTTGGCTGCTCGTACTATGGAAACAATCGGAGCAGGGAAACTCTTTAACGTGATATTTGTTTCCTGCAAACCGCTGCTGCTGAATTTGCAGGCTAAGTGCAATTATTCCCCTCCATGAATGCGTCCTGTTAAACACAACCCCAGGGGAAAACAAGGCGTTCATTTACAGCGATTTCATACGAGGGAATGAGGTCATTAAAACCTAAACAAAAAAGGAAACTTTCCCTCTGAAACAGCGAAGGGAGGAGAAAGGAACTGCCTCACCAAGAAAGCAAATTCTCCTTTTGGCTGGATGTGGCATCCTGGTGGTGCCCCAGGGCTGGGGCTGGATGTGAGCTGCATCCCTACAGCCCTGTCCCGCAGCAGGGCACGGCTCCCTCCTGCTGCTTTCCCACCGGGACACTTCCCTGTGCCTCGGGAATATTTAAAATTTGGGGTAACACCGAGTAAGAGCCCGAGCCTACTGCCAAACTCCCACTGCTCACGGACCCGCCTTCTGTTTCCCTGGGAATTGCCAAATTATCAGAGTCACCTGCAAGAAATCACCCCTTGGCCCCCCCAGCTCCCAAAGTCACTCCATGCCATTTCCTCAAAGCTCCCTGAATCCTCCACTACCTGAGAAATTAAAGGAGCTGAAGGCAATTCCGCAGCCACGCCCTGGTTAATGATAAACTTTTACGAGCAGCCTTCACCCCAGAAATAATGCACAATTCTCACTTATCTTCACGAAAAGTATGTCAGCTCGAGAGAGCCCGTTACCGGAACAGCCCCAAAATAATGTTAACGTTATTTTGATAATACAGGCTTGAAAGCCCGGCCGGGGAACCGCGGGGAGCGGCTCTGAGTGCGGCAGGAGCCGGCAGGACATCCCCGGCTCTGAGTGCGGCAGGAGCCGGCAGGACATCCCCGGCTGAGCCCGCACACATCCCCGGCTGAGCCCGCACACATCCCCGGCTGAGCCCGCACACATCCCCTGCCCTGAGCCCGCACACATCCCCTGCTCTGAGCCCGCACACATCCCCTGCTCTGAGCCCGCACACATCCCCTGCTCTGAGCCCGCACACATCCCCTGCTCTCAGCCCGCACACATCCCCTGNCCGTGCGCCACCGGAGGTGCCCTGCGGTGCTCCGGGCAGCCCAGAACCGAGCCCCGGGCAGCCCAGAACCGAGCCCCGGGCAGCCAGCAGTGCTCCTGGAACCCAGAACCGAGCCCTGGGGAGCCAGCAGTGCTCCTGGAACCCAGAACCGAGCCTGGGGAGCCAGCAGTGCTCCTGGAACCCAGAACCGAGCCCGGGGAGCCAGCAGTGCTCCTGGAACCCAGAACCGAGCCCCGGGGAGCCAGCAGTGCTCCTGGAACCCAGAACCGAGCCCGGGGAGCCAGCAGTGCTCCTGGAACCCAGAACCGAGCCCAGCCCCGAGCAAGGCGTTTCCCCCAAAAGCACAGGCCTTAAAGACCCCATCAGGGAGTGCAGCAGGTAACCCCAGAAATGTCATATTCAGCCTTGACTGTACTCTGTGTGGCTCCCACTGCTCCTCAGGGAAAAGGCTGAAAGCTCTGGACAAGGCAGCATCCCACATCTGTTCGCAGCAGCACGCCTGACTCCCGAGCACTTAAATTGTGCCCGAGGAGGAAACACTATTTAAAGAGATGTTTCAACATAAAAAGAATATTTTTACCCAAAAAGAGCCACAGAAGAGAATTCTTAAGGTGCAGAGATCAGTTTTTGTGCTACAAAAGTCCCCCAGAAAGCACTCTGGGCAAGAGCAGAGGCTCCATTTATGGCCAGGCAGAGGGGAAGAGCCACATCTGTACATCCCCCACCACGCAGGCTGTTACTTTTTAAGTCTATCTTAAAAACACAACAACAAAAAAAAACCAACCAAAACCAAAACCACACGACTGGCACTTCCACAAACTGTATTTAGAACTCCAAGTTGACAGAAGTTCATGAGTGCATCCCCCCAGGAACAGAGGAATAAGGGAACTGTCCTGCTGGTCTCTCAAAGGCACTGAGCAGCCACTTTGAGCCCTGCTGCTGCCCTGGGGAGAGTTTGGTCCTGCCACGAGGACAGAGCAGGAACTCGGAGCCTAAAGGCCGCTGGAGCCTCCAGAGACGTCACAACCAGCACCAGCTGAAGAGGAACCTTTTCTTTCCCTCTGGACAGACCTGCACAGGTGCCACCGAGGGGCCTGAAGCAATCCAAAGCTCACGGGAGCCCTTATTTATGGCAACACGCATTCCTTTCACTCACCATCACCTTCCCTCTGATCTGTATCCTCCTGCACCGCTGGGCTCACAGGGGCTTTGTTTACAATGAAACTCCCGGAGTTTGTTAAACTAACAAAGGAAGAGGAGCTGGCATCTCCCAAGGAAACAGGAGAGCAGGAGCAGCTATTTGGGGAACGTGTGGCACCGCGGCCCCAGGGAAGCAGGAGTAACACATTCCTGCCCGGGGCAAGGAGAGACGCGAGAAGGGAAAACAAAAAAGAAATCCAGCTACTTTTGAGCCTTTATACCCAAAGCTTTACCTGCTGGAAAGGCTCTTCCCACCTGCGGAGTCTGCCCTTGCCCAACAGGAGCACGGGAGACACCCTGGCAAGGGCAGCAAGAGAGAGAGCATCTTCCAGAAGCCACCCTGGCATGCTTCCATGGTGCTGCCGGGAGCGGGCAGGAACACGGCGGGAACACAGAGGGAACACGGCCGGAACACAGCGGGAACACGGCCGGAACAGCACCCACACCGACCCGCAGCCGGACACGGCACAGCCCCCGGGCAGCGCTCACCTGGCACCAGCACCACAAACACCCTGCACCAAAAACCACAGCCCTGCTCCGACCACCAGCAACCCGGGCGGCTCCCTAGGAGCAGCTCACAAGGAACAGGTGTGGAAATCAGCAGCTCACAAGGAACAGGTGTGGAAATCAGCAGCTCACAAGGACCAGGTGTGGAAATCAGCAGCTCACAAGGACCAGGTGAGCAGGCCGGCGATGAGCACCTGGAGCTGAGCAGCATCACCTGGCGATCAGCAG